GCAAACTGAGTCTGCCAGCATTGTGGAAGCAGCCACTTAAAGAACAGAGCTAGGGCTAGGCCCCCATCCCCTAAAATTTTAAAATTTGAACATTCACTGTATTTTGTGATTGTACCCTGGAGGTAAACAGACAAGATGATTTATGTGAGATGGACTAAAAATGCACTAATTCATGTAACTCTTGGCAAAGTGACTATCTCTGAGTTCCCAGCAGCAAGATGAGTATGGAGACAGTGAGAAGTCAATGGGCACCTCTCTCAGCGTCTGTACTCTCATTTTTTGTAATTTTTATGAACCTGCATAACTCCTGACCTAAAATATTCTAGCTTTAGGACTCTTCTTAAAGAGGATTCTAAGTTACTTACCTTAGCTGCAGAAACACTTGAAAAAAGGAGACTGAGATACTCTTAATGGAGTGAAATTCTTACTCATAGCAAAGAAAGTATATTCTCTGCAAGATTAAAATAGTATATCCCATCTTCAAAACAACTCTTACAGAGCCAAAAGTCTGCAGTGCTATCTCTGTCAATTTTAATACCTTCCTGTATTTCTATCACATCTTTTAAAATAACGTATTCTCATCTTGGAATAAAGGGTACCTAATCAACGAAAACAATACTCAGTCTACTCTCAGGGCTGGGGTCGGTGGAGGAGCTGAAATTAGACAGTGACCACCACCTCGGGTGCAACCCAGTGAAGACGGCTGCAAGTCACGGGCTCCCGGACACAGGTAAAGAAATGGAAAACGGGGCAGGGCTCCCGAGGGCGCCGTCCTGCGGCTGAGGGAGGCGCGCGCGCCGAGGCCTGGAGGCGGTCGGCTCACACAGGGCAGGGCGGCCTCGGACTCACCTGGTTGGTGACCTGAAACGGAAGCAGAAGGCACAATTTAGGGAGAGACCTTTCAAGCGCGAGAGCCCTGGGTAACCCCTTTTTCTTCCCGACAGGGACTTACTTCGGACTTGGCGTCCAGCGCCGGCTTCTCAGAGGCTGACCCTTCCATGGCCCCGGCCCAGGCTTCTGCGCGCGCTCTCGGCCACGCCCCCTGGACAACACTTCCGCTTCCGGTCCCTGGTGGCCCAGCGCACGCGACCGACGTGAGGGGCAGAAAGAAAAAAAAAATCTTTACGGACCTCAATTTTTGTCCAAATTACCCATCAATTCTGAAGAAATAGTTAGTGACAGTGAGAATAAGGTAGGAAAAAGGTCAGAAATCTTGGAAAAACCCGAGAAATGAAGGGATAGTTAAATTTAGAACGCTGCCTCCCCTATCTTGTGGATGTGGCGCTTGCAGGCTGGAGGCCGGGACTGCGCAAGCGCAGATTTGTGCCGGTGCTGGGGCTTGCTGGATCTAGCAAAAGTGAAATGCACTGGAGACCACAGTTGTTGCTGGGGATATTTGCCCTGCGAGGGAAATGCCTGTAAGAACTATAGTTTGTGATGAGATGTCATCGCTGAGGTTTACCTCACTGACCTACCTGTGTGTGGGAAAGAAGGGGACGGAAGATGCCTTGTCTCCGCTGACACCATCTTATTCTTAATTTTTACTTTGACAACAATACCTTCTCAGCCCGATTCTCTGTTTACCTCAACGACATTGCACAGAATGGAGGGATTTTTTTCAACGCCAACTTTGTATTTTGAAAAACCTAAAAATCTTTTCAGAAAAGTTGCAAAAATAGTTCAATGAATATCTCTATACCCTTCATCAAGAGTGAAAAACTATTTACGTTTTGCGCATTTTTTTCATTGTCTACCTGCATGGTAATGCATGGATGCTTATAATACTTGAACGTGTGTCTTGTCCTCTAAAGAGAAATGCTCCTAAACAGCCACATAGCAAGACATTTAAGAATAATAAAATAGAATTATCCAATACTTAGACTAAATTAAAACTTCCTATTCTTTTCTATAATATTCTCTCTCTCTCTCTCCCTCTCTCCCTCTCTCCCTCTCTCCCTCCCTCTCTCTCTCTCTCTTTGGCAGAACCGGGGATTGAACTCAGGCCTCTGCACTTGCGAGGGAAGCGCTTATTCCACTGAGCCATCTCCCTGGCCCCTCTATAATATTCTTAAAAGTTGTCTGCCCCACTCAAAACCCGAATCTAATCGCGGTCTGTGTTTGAGTTTCGTGATTGTTATCTCCTTAGTCCTTAGAGCTGCAGTGGTAAGGTGGTCACAAAATAATGCCCCTCACTGGGGACTAAGGGTGCAGGGATGGGGGAGGGGTATATATTTTCAAGCTTATTGAAGGTGTTGGCAGAACTCTGTGCAGTTCCTTTTTTTTTTTTTTTTTTTTTTAATGGTTTTACATGCAAATTGTCAGCTCCTAAAGACTATCTACACTCCATTTGTTTTTTTTTGTTTTGTTTTGTTTTGTTTTGTTTTCTACACTCCATTTGTCCTCCCTACTTCCATTTTATTTTTTATCTATTTTGGTGCACAGTCTCACTATGCATCTTGGACACACGCACAGTGATCCTTCTGTTTTCAGCCTCCCTGGCGCTGGGATTACAGGTGTGCGTCGCCATACCTGGTCGGTGGCCAGCTCAGTACTTCCAGGAGTGGAGTTGGTGCAGCTTTTGTACTGGGAATCACACTGCTCCCTGCCCTTGCCTAAGCAGGCACTTAGTCCGCTAAGCTATTTCGCCAGCCCACTACCTTCATTTTATTTATTTATTTATTTATTTATTTATTTATTTATTTTAAACCAAGTTATATTCCTTTATTATCGTACCTTATAACTTTTTACCAATATGCAGATTTCTGCAAAAAATGAAACCCAGTTTACTACTTCTGCTCATCTTCGTTCCTTATACATACTTTAATAGGCAAAGTCAAAGCAGCAAGATCCAAGTTTATTGGGTATAACCTGTATAGCACATGCAGGAGTGACAGCATCCCAAGTACAGTAGTAAAGAAAAACATTCTGCTTAGGAACACGTGAAGAACAAGAGCTCTAGAGCCAGAGCTCATTTCAAAATTCAGCTCCACATCTTATTAGCTCTTTGGCCTTGGAAGTGCTATTAAATGTGTCTCTTTGCCTCAGTTTTCTCTAGCTTCTCATGTCATACAACTGCAAGGCAGAACTCAGGTTGGATTCCGGTTTCCTTATCAGAACAGGCAGGTATGTGCAGTTTCTCTTAGGCTTGTGGAACAGATAAGATGAGCAACAATAGTTAAGTACTAGCATTCAAATTTAAGTCTCATAAAACATTGTTTGACATATTAGCCATTATTCTATTTGCTTTATTATCCTACAACCAGCAATTCTAACACAAACACCATTAAAGTCTTCTTTGAACAATAAAGCCATCGTAGTATTCTTGGTGAATCATAAAAGCTCCCCAAAAATCATGAAAAATGGGACTGAAAGTATGACAAAGGTATAGCCAGCCAATTTTGTTCTTTATGTACTCAATGAACCTAGCAAGAAATGGCTAGAAAACTGGCTTGTAAGCATCCATGCACACATGCTTTAGGATCATATATTCTCACCTTAATAAATAAAGTAAATGTCAGAACTGAAAAAGGCCATAAATTATAAGTTTTACTTGTTTTAAAAAGGAGGAGTAGGCCATCCAAGAGCCCAACAACTTGCTCCCATTGCATGACTAAATTCATTAATGGGGTTAAAATCACAGAATAAGAATCCCAGGCTTCTGACTCCAACACATCTCCCACTTCCTATCAAAAATGAGCTCTTGCAATCTGGCTAAGAAGTCAACCCATCTACTTAATATCTATGCCACACTTACATTATGCATCTGTGAGATGAGAAATATACTAGGAAAAATAATTATCTTCTTCTGAATACCTGCCATAAGACAGCAACACACACACACACACACACACACACACACACATATGCCCAAACAGAATAATCCAAATGTAGACTAAAGATATGTATACAGTGAATTTGAAACCCAGTATATATTTAAATTCTATTTCATATTTCAGATCATAGCCGAGTTTAACTATAATTTAAATTTTAACACGAACTATTTCTGCCATTTTTCTCATACTTCAACTTGTTACTGCTGTACTTTATTTTTTTCAAAGTTTTATTGATAAACAGATAGCAATGAGACAGTTTCAAATCAAATCGGAAGTACAGTTTCAACAAATAATACACTGCATATATTC